GCATGAAGAGAACCAGAGCCACAGTTTGAGCATGAAGAGAACCAGAGCCACAGTTTGAGCTAATCAGAGCAGGGCGGGTGCTGTCTGGTACACGGTGAGCCCAGAGCAGAGTTCCCACCTCAGAGACAGACTGCAGGTGACAGCACCAGTCAGTGTTTCCTGGACTATTTTACACAGAGGACACCTCTCTACCCTAACAGAAGGAGATGACAAGTAATCAATTATTAAATGTATGTGTTCGTACCTGACCAATTCACTGCAGCCGGGGGAGATACCAGAACTGAAACACCATTACTCCCTCCTCGTGCACGGCCCCCCGACCTCCGCGGGACGTTTGTATCTAAAATCTAACTTTGTATTCAACGTTAATGTGTTTGGAGCCTCGCCATCATCGTACAGACGTTTGAAACTTGCACGTGTGACCAAAGGTCTGGTCGATGACGGAGACGGCGCCGATGGAGCTCACGCAGCCCGTTTGTGTCTCTCATCGTGAGAGAGGAGACTGTGTCTGCTGCTTTATTTTTTATAAACATTAACACTACAAGATTATATGCTCCAGATTAAAGCAGAGATGTGTCTCCTTTTAATTTTAAATTTTTACCCCAAACTCACTAAGTTATTTGTGAGAGAGTCAGTTTGAGGGTTTTGAAGATTATCAGAAATATCTAACTCTAAATTGTCCCTATAGAGAGACAGAGAGAGTGAACGGTTGTTTGTCTCGTTTGTCTCTATGTGTCCCTGTGATGGACTGAGACCTGTCCAGGGTGTCCCCCACCACTCGCAGTGACTGCTGGACATGGGCACCAGTGACCCCCGTGATCCGGAAAGGAAGAAGCAGGTAAAGATAATGGATGGATGGATGGATGGATGGATGGATGGATGGATGGATGGTTATAGCAACAACAAGGTGTTGTCAGTTTGGATGAGCTAATCTTGATTACATTTAGAATCATAGTGAAAGATAACTGACTGTACTGTGATAAATGTCATTTAAGAAATGATCAAATATGAAAAACAAACAGCATTAAATGACCACATGAACTAAAATCCTGTAAATATAATCTCTTAGAATAAAATAATCATTTTAGGAGAGAAATCTGTCAGTCTGGAAAAAAAACAAAAACATTATACCCTACAAAGGGCTTCCTGTACTACAGTATATATTTTTATATATCTGACAGTCCATCAATTGAAAACACTGAACTGACATAAAAGTAAACTACAGAAAAGTTGTTCAAAACTCCTCTCTTTCTTCAGAATGATGTTGGTGCAGGTTAAAATATTCTTACAACTTCAACACTTCATTAGAGAACATTATACTGTGTACTTTTACTAAGGTCTTGTACACAGTGTACTCCTCTTTAGGTGAAAACCTTTGAGAAGTGACCTGTGTGCAGGAAACAGCTCTTGAATGTGTGGTATGGGGGTGGGGGGAGGGGGGGGGTTGCTTGGGTATAACCTCTAGGTCTAGCAATAAAATCAGTCAGAATATGTTTTTCTGCTTTAATCTCTAAATATGCTGCCAGTGCCTCTCGTGTGAAGTCTGATGATGAGGAGAACGATGAAGGTGCACTCCAGCAGCTCCTGAAAGAGTTCTACTTTTTTGATAAAATCCTGTTGAAACTCAGTTTCAGTCTTTCAGTTTTTGCAGCTTTCATTGCATCATGTGATGCAGACCATTTCAGATCTAGCTGCATGCTTTGATATAATTTTTGTAAGGGTTTTTACAAAGCTGAAGGAGCAGTGAATCAAAAATTATGACAGAAACAAAAGATTAAAAGCCTCATAATAGCAAAGATGCCCATAAACTCCTTATATTTCTTAAGTGTCTTTAGTCTCTGCTTCTTGGTGCAGCCTTGGGCCGCGTCGTAATAAAACCATTAAGTCTTCATGGCGTTATTGACCTCAGTCAGTCAAGCATGTAGCAGCATAATCCATAAAAAAAAAACATTTAGGTTTCAGCAACAATAATCAAGAATATCCATCAGTGTCTGCAGCAGCTCGCATCATGTTTGACTCCAGGTTACTTACAGGCGATGAGCTGTAAAATGCCGGTGCAGATGAACCTCTGGCCTTTGGGCAGCGTGAACAGCTGAGCCAGAAACACGAACAGGGCCAGGATGGTGAAAACACAGGCCAGGACTGAAGTCCCCTGCACCGCCTGGAGGTAGTCTGCAGCAGAAGGACAGAGAAACAGACAGGAGAAATCGTTTTTTCTGGAAAATAATAATAATAAATCAGTGTGAGTGCTGAATGACTGCTGAATTTTGCTGAAGACGCTGAAACTAGGTTGTTAAAGCTAAAAGAATAAAAAGGCTGGCAAAAAGTTAAAAGCACCAAAATTGAAAAGTAAGTGGTAAAAAAAATTAAGTAGCAAATGGGAAGCTAAAAATTTGTAAAAGCTAACTAGAAGCTACAAATAGCAAAAAAGGCCGGTGATAGCTTAAAAAGGACGTACGAAGACAGGAATAGGCCACTATGCTGTAACAAAATAATGTTTTTGAAGCAACTGACCAATCAAGAATGACCTTAAAGATCATGGGAATGACCCCAGAGGTCACCTAATTATCATTTCCCCTGATATGTAGCTGAAATACTCTTTTCAAGAATAACCTGATGTATTATTTCATTATGTAATACAACAAACAATAACCGTCCTTAACTGGTCTAATTAAGTGTCTGAGTCAATTTATGGGAAAGAGCTATGTACCTGAAATAGTAAAATGTTATTGTCTTCTCTGAGAAACTGCCCTCCCACAACTAAGAGAAAAAATCATGAGGTTCGTGGATCAATAAAAGGTCATAGTTTGAGGAACATGCATCCTTTCTCATTCTCTCAGCCACTATAAAATATAGTTTGTTGAAGGTCGGGCTCTTTCTTTTGAAGATGTAATGTTGATTCCTCTTTACCAAAGACATCTGGTTATTTTGGACAATGTGATTTTTAAATCCTCTGATAATTTAGAAGTGGTTAAAATCTTTACGTAGTATCATCAACATAAAAATATGAGTGTTTTCATTCGTACACAAAAGGTATTTCACTCCAGTGTCGGAGCAAAGGTGGTGGAATCCTGCCCTTCGTTTACAGAGGAGCCCTCCATGACAGCCCTGGATAAATCCTCCATGATGGGGGACAATGGTCTTGGTTTTTCCCCAGGCAATCCTCGAGTGATGGCGGGTAGAACCTCTGAGAGAGAATGGGCTGAGGAGGATAAGGAAGTTGGAGAATACATGACTGGAGCAGGTGGGTAGTAAGGACCCAAGCTGTAATCTTCCAGTGCATCTTTAGGGTGGGCGTATATTCCCCAGCAAGAGGCCTGCATGGTCCCTCTGCCCACCCTGATCACTTTCTCCATGCTGGTCTGTCAAGTTGAAGCGAAAAAAGTCTGTAGTAAGGACCCCTACAACCCTCTCCTTAAAGGTGAAGGTGGGTCTTTGGGAGGCGGGGCTTAAAAGGTTAGGGCTTTTTTTTCACAGCTAGAATGTCAGCCCAGCACCAGCAGTTGAAGAAAAGGGAGATTTGTGCCCAAGAGTCAACTGGGAAAGCCAGCAGAGTTCTGAATACACGGCAGACAGAATTCAGACTCCAGAACCAAGAGGTTTGAGGGACTCTTGTGGGCGGACTTTCATATGCTAGACCAGGTCTGGCTCTCGTTACGCTGCCAGACTGCTTTCAGTTAAATCCTTTTCTCTGCAATTTCAAAAATGTGACTCGTTTTGCAATCATCAGTGAACATTCGTTTTCTTCCCAGCTTAGGACAGACTGGGTGGTGTAAATATTATGTGGTATCACCAGTCTGAGAACTGCCCAGTCCTTGTGAGTTAGAGCTCCTACAGGAGTTAAAAGGCCTCAGTTTCTCATCTTCATCCGGCTGATACAGACTGAGCTCGCCTCTCTCGTAGTCGAACACGTATCCCCACGCACCGCCAAATAGTTCTGAAGACCACTCCTGGTGCAGCAATTCAAGTAGGGGGAGTTGTGTTCTACACGTGGTTCTCCAGGGAGCTCCTGCAGCCTGGTCAGGATACTGGTAGATTGATAAAAGGTATAACAACGAGAGCTGTGTTCTTTGCCACCAAGGTTGTGTGTAGTTTATCCAGGGTTGTCCGAGTTGAGGCATCAGCAGGAGACATCCCTTCAGATTAAAGCTGATGGCGTCAGAAGGTCCTTAAGCAACAGCACTGGAGGCTTTTCAGTTAAAGTTGATGACGATGACACCGCAGCGAGGTTTTCATCCTGACTGACAACCACCGCATTTTCACACTCGAATCTCTTTACTCTAACCATGTGGCCGAGATGGTGTAGGGTCAGGGCAGCTGACTCGAGACCCAAAAGTCCCAGGTTCAATCCCTGGTCATTGCACTTCTCGTGGTGTCTCTGAGCAGCACACCATATCCCCAATTGCTCCCCGGGCGCTTTCAGTAGCTGCCCACTGCTCCAGCTGGTGGTGGATGGGTTAAATCAGTCCTTCTCAAATAGTACATAACAGAAAATAATTGAGAAGCACTGGGTTAAATGCAGAGCTAATTTCACCGATGTATGGAAACATACAATGATGACAACGTAACATTCTTCTTCTTATTATTATTATTATTATGTTTGATCAGGTTGTTAGCAAACGATAACAGAACATCATGAGAACTATTAAACGATTAGAAACCCCACCTTCTTTTCTGATTGGATTACGAACATGCGTGTGTGTGTGGTGTGGCCGAGAGCAGATAAATGATGCGTACTTCTTAGACTAAGGCCTTTTATTGATCTAGGAACTTGAAGATTTTTTGGGAGGGGAAAAAAAACATTAAAGTCTCTCAGATAAAACAAAGACTTTTTAATATCCCAGGTGCCATAGCTATTTCCCATATATCAACTCAGACCAGTAAAGGAAGATTAATGTTCATATATGTTGGAACACATAATAAAATAAAGGTTAATAAATAAATAAATAAGATAACACTAACAAAGTTAAGTCAGGTCTTCTGGACGGTTTCTTCTTGTTGAAACGTTTCGTCTTTTATCTAACAGACTTCATCAGTCCGAGGAGCCACAACAAACTCAGTTTTACAAATAACACCTTCTCATAGTGGGTCAACCAGTTTCATGGTGCACAGGTGCACCCGCTTCAGATGTTATCAGCCATTAAATGGCCGTTATTAGTTGTTATCATCTCCATATGTAGCGGTCAGACTGCCCCTCCTGTACCTCCCAGTGGGTTTAAAGGTACGTTGTTAGCGATGATAATAAGCTCTATTTTTAGCTTTGTTAGCGCTCATAATAGGGTCACATGGTTAGGTTCAGAGTAAAGGGTCTGGCGGTTAGGTTTAGGGTCTTGGTTAGGTTTAGGCACAAGGGTAAGGGGGTTAAGTTTAGGGTTGGTCCTCAGGGTCAGGTGTAAGCTTACATTTAGGAAAAGGATTACAGAAGCTGAAAACAACTACAAAACACTTCCTGGTTTACCTCCGTGTGATGCTGCCTATTATCAGCAATAATAACGATAATAACGTACCTTTAAACCTACTAGGAGGTAGGTGGGACAGTTTGACTGCTACATATGGGGATGATAACTAATAACGGCCATTTAATGGACTGATAACATCTGAAGCCGCTCACAAGAGGCTTTTATGGCCCGCCCTCTCCCCTGCTGACTCGTTTGAGGCAATCATAACCAAAGTGGTTCGAATATCCTGATTCATGCATGTTTCAACAAAAAGAAACCGTCCAGAGACCTGACTTAATTCTGTCAGATTTTTCTACCTGGATTATTGAGCATGCATCAGGATATAAAGACAATCTTTAAGGTCATTCTTGATTGACACCTGTCTAATCTGTGTTTGACAAAAGGTGTTTTATTTCTCTCAAATCTTTCTTACAAATTATACAAGTTAAGTCATAACATCCATCTCACGGATGAGCTGAATGTTTTATATGAATGGCTAAAATAAAGTATGGAGGAGGTGCAAACAACAGGAAAACCACAGTGATAATGCCTAATCAGCTGTCTCACAATGAAACAAAGACTAATGTTAACATTTAGTTTGTTTCTAAAGCGGCACAGCCACCATTTGATCCACTATTTGTTCTAAAGCTCACAAAATAAGACTTCCAGCATTGTTTTAAATGATGTTTGTTAAATTTGCATTCACTTTGCATGAATTTGAACCGGCTCAGTTTACCTTCGGGGTAGTTGCTCAGGCTGAAGTAATGCCAGTCTGAGTTCGTGAACTCCCATTTGCCCCACAGATCTGTTGACATAGTATCAGAGATCCACCAAGCCTGGAAACAAGTGTGAAAACAGGAGTGAAAGTGGAGTGTGAGAACATACAGAGGCATGCAAAGCCTGCAGAGCAAACAGTAAAACACTCTGAGCGGGCTTGACAGCAGATATTTATACGTTTTATCCCTGGTGTGTGCATGTGTGACGTCTCGGTGTGGGCAGGCAGATGGGCTGCTCTCTTACAAAGCTTTTTATTCTTCTGCCGTCATCTCCGGCCCTGTTTTCTGTTTTGAGGGTTTAAAGATTTACGGCACCGTGGGTGGCAAAAAAACATATTTGGACATTTAACTGGAGGGTATTTCTGGTTTACACACACGAGCCTGGCAGAGATGCATTGAAACAAAGTGAAGGAGCTTCTGGACCAGCATTTGTGATCGTATAAAAATCTTTCGCTCTTAGTCTGAACACAGACCCAAGATAAAGAAATTAAACTAGAATTAAGTCATCTACCACCTAGACTCACATTTGAAATTTACAAGTGCTTTGAAGTATGTGTTGAGCATGACTCAACTACAACCACACAACTGTAAATGTAAGTTAAAGTCATTATTTTTGATAAAGAGAGGCAACTCTGGCACCAGCGATCCCAGTGACCCAGAAAGGAAGAAGCAGGTAAAGATAATGGTTGGATGGATGGAGGCGACTCCAGTAGTTATTGAAAATGTTGCACAGTCTGTCAGTGCTCAGAGTACAGGTGCATCTCCAAAAATTAGAATATCGTGGAAAAAGTTCTATATTTTTTGCCAATCATTTCAGAAAGTAAAACTAGTATATTATATAGATTCATTGCACATAGAGTGAACTATTCCAAGTAGGGATGCACAATATTGGATTTTTAGTCGATATCCGATACGTTAAAACTTATTTGGCCTATAACTGATACCAATACTGATTTTTTTCCCCTAGACCTACTTACAGAGACGACATAGCTTCCTCTGCTGTGGAATGAAAATACTACATTATTCTGCACGATCTTTGTTAATTTGATCTGCTACCAAATGCAGATGGCAAAAAGGGGACTGAAAATGATGTAACACTTCAACTTGGATTATGTTTAATGTCAAATTTATTCATGTCATTTATTCTCTCTAACACAATGACAACACTCGAACAGTGCAAATTTGTAAATGTTCACAAATCTAAACGGTGTGCGTTGTGTCGTGGTTCTGGCGCTGCAGGCATCCATGTCACTGTGTTGTCATAGAAAAACAACATGGAATGGCCAATGTTCGATATTTAACTTTATTGCTAATATCTTTGCTAATAATACCGATACCACGCTGATAATATTGTGCATCCCTAATTCCAAGCCTTTATTTCTTGTAATATTAATGACTATGATTTACAGATAATGAACAAACAAACTTCAGTGTCTCAGAAAATTTGAATATTGTGAAGAGGTTCAATATTGTAAACTCCTGATGTCACACCCTCATCAGCTGATTAACTCCTGGACATGAGCTACAAATGTCTCATTCCTCAAGTCAAACCACTCCTGAACCAGAGACAGAAGTGTCTTACCTGCTGAGGATAAACAGAAGTGGACTGTTGCTCAGTGGTCCAAAGTCCTCTTTTCAGATTAAAGTAAAAATGTGTAAATCAATGTCTCAGAGTCTGCAGGAAGAGCGGAGAGGTCCAGAATCCACGTGGTTGAAGTCCAGAGTGAAGTTTCCACAGTCAGGATGGTTTGGGTCCATGTCCTGTGCTGGTGCTGGTCCACTGGGTTGTCTGAAGTCCACAGTCAGCGCAGCATCTAGCAGAACATTTTAGAGACTTCCTGCTGCTGACGAGCTTCATGGAGACGCTGGTTTTTCCAGCAGGACGTGGCTCCGGTCCACACGGACAAAGGTACCAACAGCTGGCTGTGGAATATTCTCATTTTCTGAGACACCGAGTTTTGATTTTTTTTATAACCTGTTTTTCATAAACATCAAAATTACAAGAAAAAAAAAGGCTTGAAATATTTCACCCTATGTGTAATAAATACATCTAATATAGAAGTTTCACTTTCTGAAATGAATGACCAAAAACCTGAACTTTTTCCACAATATTCTAAATGTTTTTTTAGACGCACCTGCATGTGTTGACAACCACTCTGCTCCAACCAAACTGCACCGTAGCTCTGGATCTGTAAAACCGACTGCTTCATGGTCATCTTGTGTTGACTGATGTCGTGGTGGCCATCTTCAGTCGGGATGGATCAAAAGTTTAATCGGGAGTAGACGCCCCTCTAATGATGACTTTCTGGACGTTTAAAAAAATGTATCCTGCAACTCATGAGATGTTTTGCTAACAGACAGGGCTGACTCCAACGGTTAATACAAAGTTTTAAACAAGTATTTTGTGTAAATGTGTTGGGAACGACTCTCAACCATAACCAAAACCAATTTTAGCTTCTAGTCTTTAAAGACGTCAGAGTTAGAGTTTGTGTTGTGTCTGCTGGCTGTGGCGGCCATCTTGAATTGGGTTGACTCCCAAAGTGATTCAGTTGTAGATGAACGTCCAGGGATTACTTTGAGAGCGTTTCCATAAAATGGTTCATTTTATGATGCCAGGGCAGTAAAAAGGAAGTACTCACATTATCAATGGTGGCCACCAGGAGCAGGATGATGGCGGTAATGTGCACAACAACGATTGCTGCCAACACCAACATTGTGGCTCACTGGAACAGATAACAAGGCACGGAAGGATGCACATCATTCATTTATGTTCCAGCCACACTCTGGAGTAATACTTTTATACAGCAGGCAGGTAAAAAAAAACAAAAGCTAAATAAATACATGAATGGAAAAAAAAAACAATGGAAGAGAAAGAGGAAAGGGAGCTATTACACAGGTTTAGACTTGCCCCCCACCAGGAGTCAACATCTGGATTTAGACACGTCACACACACGCTCCAAATATCTTTGCTTTTTATATCTCCATCTAAATTTAAACGCCTCAGATAAAGTCGCATTCATTAAAAGACTAATAAATGAAAATAAAAAAATAACGACTTCCTGTTTGCTTCTCGGCTCATTTTCCCACAAAAACTTTCGACCGTTTCCGTCGACTAGAAAGGCGCATTTGTTTGGCGACTGTTTGGGCATTCCCAACAGGGTGCCGTGCCGTTACGCGCGCGCGCACACACACACACGAGCACAACTTTGAAAAGAGCGCGAGAAACAAGAAGAAACAAAACAGTTTCAGCCTTTGATCTCCGCCGGCCTGCTCACGTTCGCTATTCTTCAAAGAGTTTACGCTAACTTTAAAGTCTGCGTTTAAAAAGACAAATGTGAAACGTAAACAACAAGGAGACAAGTTTGGTTCGTAGTAAGAACTTAATAAAAAAAAGTGAATAAAGTTACCTGGCGTCGCTTCAACACACGGAGCGGGAGTTATTTGGGAATGTGGAGGAGTTTAGACCCACCCAGTCTCTAAGTCTAATTCGCTCAACACCCACATGCACGCGCACGCACACACATCTCCTTTTTTCCTCCTTGTTTTCTCACTCCCCCTTCCCTCCCACGTAACCCCACCCAGCACGGTTCAAATGTGTTTTTTCTCACTTTAAAAAAAAGTGGGGGGCGCCTTGTGTTAGAATTAAAGGCCTAGCATTCCTTGAAGGAATGCACATCTCCCAACGCCCTTTATTCAAGAGATGCTTGAAACAAAATGGATGTAAGCTCAATCATACTGGTAGATAATGACAAAAAAAAAAAGGTTAAATCGTGTCATATAGACCAGTTTCTTTAGGTGAGAAACTATTCATCCCTCATCCAGAGGACTTCCTCAGTCTACAGCCTGCCAACCACATCTGCCCCATAGCAGTTATATTGATTGTTTTGGATGGGTATGTTTTGCACGTGTTAAAAGCCTACTTTTGAGATTCCAACAGGAGGTCGGCTTGAAACACAGCAGTGAAGGCTACGTATAAGGTGTGAGGACCTTCAGGAGGATTGAGCCTCACAAAGCCACTGACCCAGACAACATCCCTGGGAGGGTGCTGAAAGACTGTGCCGATTAGCTCTGTGATGTGCTGGCCGACATCTACAACTCCTCACTCACCCGGGCAACAGTTCCCACCTGCCTGAAGATCGCCACCATCATCCCAGTTCCTAAGAGCTCTGCAGTGACTGGTCTGAATGACTACCGGCCAGTAGCCCTCACCCCGAAAGTCGCTAAATGCTTTGAAAGACTGGTCATGACTCACATCAAAACAACCAACATCATCAACGAGGACCCTCACCAGTACACATACAGCAAGACTCTATTAACAGAAGACGGCATCTCCTCTGTGGTCCACACTGCTCTCACCCACCTGGAGCAGAAGGACTCCTACGTCCATATGCTCTTTGTGGACTTCACGTCTGCCTTCACTAATTCCATGATCCCCCAAACCCTGATGGACAAACTACTCACACTAAGCCCTTTCCTATGCAATTAAGTCCTGGATTTCTTAATCAACAAATCACAATCTGTGAGGATCCACAACTTCTTCTCCTGCATCCTGATAAAAAAAAAAACCCTCAGCACTGGCTCCCCTCAGGGCTGTGTGTTGAGCACCCTCTTGTTCACTGTGCTCACATATGATTGTGCAGCTACCCATCCAGGCTGTCATATTGTAAAGTTTGCAGATGATACAGCGGTGGTGGGATGCATCACAAACAATGATGAGTCCAGCTAAAGGCAAGAGATGGAACACCTGGAGAGCTGGTGCAGGAAGAACAACCTCTGCATCATTGTGAAGAAGATGAAGGAGATGATTGTGGATTTCAGAAGGAGCAAACACACCTACCCCACATCCCCTGGACACAGGAGGATCTGCGATGGAAGTGGTCTCCAGCTACAAGTACTTGGGTGTACACCTGAATGACAACCTCAGCGGGAGCAACAACACCACCAGCCTGATCAAGAAAGCTCATCAGAGACTCTACTTCCTCAGGCGGCTGAGACGAGCTGGTCTGGGAAGCTCAGTCCTCACCTCCTTCTACAGGTGTGCAGTGGAGAGCATCCTGTGCTCCAGCATCAACGTGTGGCATGGAGGCTGCACAGCTGCAGAAAGAAAAGCTTTGCAGAGAGTGGTGAAGGCTGCACAGAAGACTGTTGGAGTCAGTCTCCACACCATCACAGACATCTACACCTCCAGATGCAGGAAGAGGACCACCTGCAACATGAAGGACCCCACTCACCCAGCACACACACTTTTTGCCCCACTCCCCTCAGGAAGGAGGTTGAGGAGCATTAAGTGCAGAACCACTAGACTGAGGAACAGCTTCTACCCTGAGGCTGTTAGACTCAAGAATCTCTAACCAGAAAAATCACTGTAAGAAGAAAAAAAACCCCACTGTAATTCCACTTTAATTGGTGATATGTGACTTATCTGTGCTGCTGATCTATGCTGCTGATCTCAAGCTGCTGTATTCATACCCATCTAATCACGACAGACTCAAGTTCGGGCTGCTGCTTGATACACCGTATTATTTTACGTTATTAGTGTTTATTGTATATCTTAGATCTTTTAGCATTCATTTAACGTTCGTTTAGCGTGTATTTTAGATTCTTGTATACTGTTTCTTTTTACACTTGATATTTTTGCTATTTTTGGATGTAACTGGAACCTTGAGTACATAATTTCGTTCCACCTCATGTACAACATGTGATGAATGACAATAAAGAAGCTTGAACTTGGTTTTGGACACACAGACATGTCTTGAGTTGAGGTGGTGGGACAGTGTCTCCTCTTCCTGTCTCACACGTTCCGCTTCATTATGCAGACACGATGACTTGTGTGAAGTGAAGATGGGACATTAAGTAGAGATGCAGGCAGCGGCGCAGAGCAGTCTGAGCCGCAGGGAGCTCATCTTCTGTGCAGCAGCAGCAGCTACTCCCTGATGATGTCGTTTAGAGATTTAAAAAAAAAAAAAGGCAAATGAAATGTTTTGCTCCTGCAGATGGTTACTCGGGCAGGAGATCAGAATAAAAAACTAAATCTAAAAAAATCAGATGCTGAGCGCTCAGATTAAGTTTTGAATGACTCTCGGTTACAACCACGTCAAAGTTTAGCTCAATACAGTAGTCCCTTGATTATCGTTCCAGACACTCCAGTGATAGGTGAAAAATGGGGAAGTAGCAACCTGATATTTACTTTAGTATTTATAAATATTTTAAGGCTTTAGAAACCCTTCCCACACTCTCACTCTAGCAATGTTCTAAACTCTTAAACCTTCATATTTTTAACAACATACATATATGTACTGTAAAGTACTGCAAAATTTTACTCACCAGCTCTGCAGAGTAGCAGCTCAGTTCCAGTAGGGCTCGGTTCTGTTCGGCTACCCTGTAGCATGAGGAAGCCCACCGCCCCGTCCAGACTGATGTGCGTGTGCTGCCACTCAAAGAGCGCACAGTGCACGAGGCTGCCCAGGATGTAGTCCATCACCTCGGTCTGGTCCAGACCAGCACCGCGGTGACGAACCAGGTCGAACCCCGCCGCCGTCTGTTCCCTGCAGCCCCCAGGATCCGGGTCACACTGAGTCCGGATCAACTGCAGCCCAGGTACTCACCAGTGAAGATACAACTTGAAGGATGAGTTCAGCTTCAGGATTATTTGCAACTTTCCTGTCAGTTCTGTGAGTTTAATAGATAGATCCTTCCTCCATTGCTGCCATTTTGGCAGAAAGCAGCAGCCAGAAGCACTGTTGGCTTTTGGGTAGTGTAGTTCTTTTTGGCTGGCGTTACAGTACAGGCTTATTGAAAGAAAACTACAAAATGGCGGTGCCTGTCCCAAGTTTTTTTTCATTAACTTTTTATCCCGTACCGTCCCAGTCATGTGAGTAATATTAAAGCTGACATGAATCTTGTGTGGTTTTGTGTCGTGTTCAATTTTATGTTGAAAAACAACAAAATAACGAGTCCACAAAAGTCGAACAGTGAAGTGGCGAGGGATTACTGTATCTGTAAAATTGATTAAGTGGCTTTTATGTTTGTTTGTTTGTTTGTTTATTTATCTCGAATTAGGTTGACTCCAAAATGTAATCAGCTGTAGACTTTCATCCAATAATCTGTGTTGGAATCATGATATTTTGCTAATTAACAGACAAACACAAACATGGGCAAAAACTTTGTCTCCTGTCGTCACCTTTCAATGGGCGATAAAAATCAAACAGTTTGAACAGATTATGTATCTTGTTTGTCAGTTGATGATGCATCCATCCATTATCTTTACACGCTTATTTCTTTACTGGTCACGGGGGTCACTGGTGTCCATTTCCAGCAGTCACCTGGACAGGTCTCCAGTCCATCACAGGGACACATAGAGACAAACAACCATTCACTCTCTCACTCACACCTAGAGACAATTTAGAGTTACCAATCAGTCTAACATGCATGTTTTTAGTCTGTGGTTGGAAACTGGAGTACCAGGAAAAAACTCACGCATGCACGGAGAGAACATGCAAACTCCACCCAGAAAAGCCTCCGGGCGGGATTTGATCCAACAACCTTCTCACTGAGAGGCAGCGGCTCTACCAACTGCGCCACCGTGCTGCTTGACAATCTCATATAATAATAATAACATCTAAAATACTTGTCATGGTCACCAGTTCAGCTACACCTGTGTCTGTCACTCCCTGCCTGCACTCTTCATAAGACAGGCAGATATAGCTCAGAGTCACTGTGTGAAAATATTAAGCTGTCGTAAAAAAAAAAAAGTTCTAAACTGTAAGTGGCAGAAACATCTGTTCACAACACGCATCATATTTTTATGGTTCTACAGTGTTTAATGTGGATGTGTTAAAAAAAAACATCAGCTTCATTTCCTTTTTTTTTTAAGTGCAGTACTGTACTGTATTTGCTTCCATGAATACAGTACTGTACTGTACTGTACTGTATTGTACTGTACTGTACTGTCATTTAAACACTTGACCAAAACAAACACTGCTTGGTTTAAAACTTTACATGAACTCTGGTGATATGTATTCCTACAAGTATAGTTCTGTACACTTTCATCAGCTCAAAAGTTTTTTTTCCTCCTTACATCAGTCTCAACAATCCGAGGAAAAATGGGAAGAAATGAACAGAAAAAATATTAAACAACAGGGATCATCAACTGGTGGCTCTCGGGCCATATCCGGCCTGCAACATCACTCCACCTGGCCACGTTTTAAAATATAAATAAATAAAATGTGCACAGTAATCAGCATAACGGTAATCATATGCATCTGAGCTCAGAGAGGATTAACGACAGCAGGGTTTCAGCCAATCAGAGCGCTCGCTCACAAGATGTGCTCATCATCAGGGACAAACTAAACATGTCTGCAGCGTGTGTGCTGCAACAAGCATGACGTTTTCTTTGTCACTGTTGTATACACACAACACCCAGAGACACTGTTTGGTTTTTAAATGTCGCTGCTCCTAGAAAAACGTCTTTGCTCCCCCTCACTTCCTGCTCGGA